AATAGCATAGAGCAAATAAAGCAAAATGCTGTACATTCACAACTTATATTCAATATGCCTGAATTATTTAAGTATACTCTAATATACCACCTGTGCTTCAATAGGACTGCACAACTGCGTGAGCTGTACCTCAATGATAACCAGTACACAAATTCCAAACACTCAAGAGCATGATGCTATTTCTCAGAATCACGTAATGTACATCTGGCCTCTGAGCTCCGGGAGCCAAATACAAAACTGAAATATTAACTTTCACAGCATTCCAAAATAACTAGACTTCTCTCTGAAAACGTATAATAGGTAACGTTTAATGCAGCATGTAAATCATCAGTGGGCCTAAAGCGTGTTGCACAGGCAGATGTGGGGGCAATAGTAAATTCTGTAAGTAGATGTGGAATATTAATGAGCAATAATTCACACGCCACAACTTGTTGAATAATTACGTAAATAATTTAACATTCACACTAACTGTATCATTATTTACATTATTCTCAGTCAACACAAAGATTAACATTCAATAGATTTACCTTTTTAGCACGGGTACTTTGGAAAGAAACCGTGAAATAAATTAACATCCAAACTGTGTAGAGAATGCTCCGCAGCAGCTAGGACAACAAAAACAACTGCATTCCCCCCCCTCCCCAAAGCAATCTTCACCAGTCTCCCACTCTCCCCTCTGTGGCAAACACGGGCACACAATGGCCAACCTGTGCGGGACACGTGTTCCCGGGTGCTGGCGCTCTCCGCAAGCCCATGGGGTCGGAGCTTGCAGCTTGACACGCCACAAGGTCACGCCACCAGCGACATCTTGGCCCCTATTATGGGGCCGTATCCCCCCCTTAGTCTCGTGAGATACATTTGGTAAGGATGGCCGCAGCAAGGTAATCTTACTTGATGGGCATCTGTTTAAAAATCATTTTCTAAATAACATTCGTGACGGTCGTTAACATCATCATTAATTGGCTCCGTCAATGTATGTCTCTGTAAATAAAACTGCGTAGAAAATTTACGACCACATTAATAACAACCAAACAGTGCGAATTCGGTAAAGGCGCTTGGATTTTAGTTTACTGGAGAGGACAAAACCTTGGCAAGGGTAAGGCAAGCGATATAACTGCACACACACAACACGTACAGCTGTGCCTGTGCCGCCAGCAATCGAGTCACTCTTTATTTTAAGACATCATAAACGTTCACACATCCGAACCATACGAAAGGTTAAACGTGCAAGAATCCTGATCATGTCTTTAAGTAACAAGCAAGAGAACCCCAGGTCAGGCGCCCGTCGTACTGATCACACAAATAACGGCGCTCCCCTGGGCACCTCGTTTAAAGCACCAACTCGCGTTCAATCGGGTGAGTACTTACAGTGCGTGCACATGTCCAGCGGATAACTCAAATCATTCCCCTGCAAAGAAATCATACGAAACCTTTAAGAAGAGCTCACGCATACACACGGCACGCATTCACACAAGTCCGCGTGTACCAGACCTGCCAGAACAATATATACACAATGAAGGTTATGTTGATAAGCAGCGAATGGAGCCAAATGAAAACTGAGCCGTGCTCTAAAATAAGCTTTGTTTTTACATAAAAACCGCCCCCACCCCCTCCACCAACACCACAAATTGGAGATAGTCGTGATCATTTAACCGATTACGCTATTTACTAATGTATTTAACTAGTCTACTTCTTCTTCTTCCATTGCCTCATGTGACTCCCGGCGGCTCAGCTTTAAAGACACTCAAGAGGCGAGAAAGTCCATTTAACTCGGGCGACTATTAGCGTGCTACACGTACGTGTGAAACACAGGAGAGCGTGGAAAGGGGAGCTCATTACTGCGTTTTTATATTTTTCAACGGGGACCTTATTGACATAACATTTCAGAAGGGTTTACCGCGGGCGCGTTTGTTATTAAACATCATTATCCATTTTCGTTTCGAATAGACGGGCCTGCCCGCTTCTAACACACAAAAGACAGATAAGATGGCTCACTGAAGGAAGAGCCACCCCAAGGCATCTCAGCGGACTCATTTGCAGTCGGAGCAAAACTGCAGCAAAAATACGGGCGTGTTTACGAATACATTCCACCGTGTGTACATCCAAACACATAAACAAGCGGAGCACGCGCCCATACAAACAAGTACACATTCGCGCGTGTGCGGATTAAAACTCGTAAACAAGGACACGTGCACGCTGAAACACGTACACAAGCTAAACGTGTACACTCTTGAACACACGCGCACACGTGTGCGCATTCTAACATGTAAGCAAGCAAGTGTGAAACGCGTGCAATCAAACGTGTACACAAACATGTACACACTCCAGCATGTGCATTAAAATAGGGTCACAGATGGCGATGGCTGGAGCGGTGGGCCGTGCTATTCCATACCGTACTACTCTCGTGTTGCCGCAACGCTGACACACACCAGCCTATGCTTTATTGACACACTAAACAGAGATTGTATCTCCTCTCGCTTTAAGAATAAAATACTCGACTGTCTCTGGCTCAGCGCAGGCCGATCCTCGCCGCACGAACCTCCATCACTGCACGTCCCCCTCCAACCCTGGCATCACGGACCCCAAAAACCTCGCCGGGCCACATAGGCCACCATCCCCATCCGTGATCCCGCGGCGAACAATCATCATCATCAGCCTCACTAATACCACCACCACCACCATCATCTTTTACGACCACTGCCCATGGTCATTCCACTGATGGATGAAGAAGGCCTCGCGTCAAAGCCGTCGCCATTTCTCACGACCCTGCGATGTGCGGCGTAGCGCCTACACATTCGCACCTCCGATTTTGCACGACTGGCTGCCAAACGGTGCAAAATAAGTTAAGCATTAACACATACACGAGCCGATTTCAGCGCTCCGTCTCCGCGGTGGACGTAAAAAAAATTCGCTAACGAGTTCCATTCCTCGGTTGCTACTCGGCTTTAATGTATTTAAAATCAGAGCAGCCAACGCGCGTTGCAGGCGTAAACATCGAACCAAATATACGCATCTTAGATAAATTGAAACATTTCAACATTGCATCTCATATTTTACAATGTATTAAAAGCGTAGGCCTCGTAAAGGCCTCACAGCCCCCCCCCCCCCCCCCCCCCCCGTTCGCCTAGCGAACCCCGCCGGGGCAAGGGCGCCCTCGGTCGGTAGGACCGGCCAGCCGACAACGGTGGGGGGAGGTCTCGGAACCCCGCGAAGGTGCGGGTCGCGAGGCTCGCAACGCGACGCCGCCCGCGGCGCCCAAGCGCTCGGCTGACCCGGGGATCTCCCGGCCCCGGGAACCCCGTGAGAGGCTCACCATGTTGGCGTCCGGACGTCGCTGAGCGCTGCAGGACGACGGGAGCGGAGCGGGAGGCGCGGCCCGGACCTCGGCAGCGGAGGTGACAACATCCGGGCTCCCACGGCGCGAGTCACGACTTCGCGCCGGCAGCGATTCTCCCGCACGAATCGATTCCCCGCGCGGAACGCCGAGTTGAGCCTTCCGTGCGCGCTCCAGCCGCCAGCTTCCCTCGCTCGAGACCTTTTTGGGTGTGACACTGACGCTGGTTTTAATGCGAGACCTGCGTGAAAGCTTGAAGTGGTCGCGAGATGAGCGTTGGCGAGGAACGCCGCGTAGAGGCAATCTGTGGATCGATTATGTTAGAAATCGATTCACCTGCTGAGCAACGGGCTTAAGCTCCTCCCCAGCCGTCAACCCGGTGTCTAACGGGGACGCACTCGGTCCGAGCTTGAGCCAAGGGCTCAACTCTTTGAAACGGGAACGCTTTTGCGTGGAGTGATCTGCAAAACTATTGGGGCTGGGTTTGATGCCTGTATTACATTATACCCCTGCCAAAAGCCATAGCTGTAAATGATAGCCCCACCCCCGCCCCGCCGCCAAACTTAATGCCTAATCCTGGTGAATTATAACCCTTAAACTCGCTCGTCAAAGCCAAAATTAAGTTAGCGAAAGCCCACGTAGGCGCAATTCCAAATTGCCAATGTTAAATGACCGAAACCATTGCTCTGGTTCTAACTCGAAGCCACCAGTCCCCATTGTAACCACAAAAACGTAGCTATGACCACCACTCCCAAAACGTATTTGGTCGCAATACACATGATTAATCGCATTTAAACTCTTATCTTAGATACAGCCCTACAATGCTGAACTATACTCCAAAGTTAAACATAGCATGGTGCATATAAAATACGATTTGCGATGTTATGTACAGTTACAGATCAATCTTGGGGCGAACCTGAACACACTTTTTGAATATTCACTCATTTAATTCAGTAAGGTATATCGCGTACAGTATTTTATTCAACTGCCCACTCGTCACACACCTAGCGCAAGGAATGACCCTGAAACAAATGTTATTGCCGAGTCATATGCTGCAAACGGCACTGCATTAAGCAGCAATGAAAATCAGGGAAGGTTTCCCAAAACCACGAATTGCCATTTGGTGGAAATGGGAGCATCGGTCATTGGTCCAGCGACTGGAATCTCACCCAAGCCCAACGCCACGTGTTTACATTTGTGTTGTGCATTAAATCAGTTTTATTAAACTTGACCACTCGACCAATGCAAACATTTCCGCGGACCCACCCACACCCTTGGTGACAAAACGCATTCACTTATCTAGAAACACCAGTGATACTCAAGGATTCGTTTACCGGAACATTAAAAGAAGACGGCTATAAGGTTTATTTTCGAGGGGGAATTTAGAACTCGGGGTTAGGGTAATCAGGGTAGTTTACCGAACTTCATTTTTTTATTTAACATCGTAAGTAAAATACGAATTCATGTCCGACCAAATAGTATAAACATTTGTTTCCTGCATTTGGATCAACCTGCATTTGCACCACAGTCCGTGAACCACCTGGAGGATCATCGTTGATCACTGGTGGTCCGCGGACCGTACTTTGAGAACCACTCCATTAAAGAGTTGAAATCTTGCTATATGCAAGATTCACCTGACATATAACAATGACAAATACTTGCACAATGTGGTTATATCCAACGTAAGCCTTTATTTACCCACGTGATTACATATCTGCACAATGCACCCAAGGACGTCAGCGGTCTGCCCAGTGGAGTTTCATTGAGGCCTGCTTATCTCCACGTCCACATTAAAAATATGCGTTCAAAGTTAAAACCCTGTAACAATACCGTGGAAAGGCAATCATTCGTTGTAAAACGCCAACATTTCATTTAGCAAGATTAACATTTCACCTCGCTGTATTTCCACTAAAAACAACTGATTTCCACATTTGATGTTTAAAATACAGGGCAAACACTATTGTGGTACAGTAAAAAAAATGTTAAATAACACACCATTATACAGCTAAGTAACTTGGTCCATTTGTCTAAGCCCCATGATTGGAAAGACTAAATTCATAAGAAAGTTAAGATACAATATAAATGTAGAATTTAAAATCAGCACCGATCCAATTCTAACACTGTTTCATATAAATAAGACGGGGTTTACTTGGGAGCAACGGACATTCTTAAATGCATGGGGACAGTGACCACCAACTTGAAGCAGCTATTCAAATGACAATGCTGTGCAGTGGAATTAAAATCCAAGTTGCTTTTACATGCAAAGACCTACAACTGTATTAAAAGTGGTGGGTTGTAACATGCGGTTTGTATTTTTAAACAGATTCTCATATTACACATTCCATTTAAAAACCCTATATTTTTAGCGCACGCTGCTACTGTATATTAAAAAAACAACTATAGGTTTCTGTAATCCAGTGGTGAGCAACGGTTCTCTGACCATTGTGAAGTCATTAGGCCAAATAAGCAATGTGTTTCCAGATGCCAATACTACACCAAGTGCAGTCAAACACACACCACCAGACCCCCAAATTGCGGATCTACCCAGCTCAACAACTCAATGCTAACTGCGTTTCCCACCTCTGCTGTAAACAGATCGCATTACTACTCAAATAACACATTCTTTACAAGACCGAGTATCACCCTATGTCTGATGCTTTCCAAGCGGACATGCATAGATTTTTTATTTAAGAACTAAGTATTGTCCTGGGTACATTATTTTATACACTGGGCTTCTCAATGATGCGCTGATGGCTAAAAATGGTATGTATTAAGCCTTAACATGTTTTGAGATACGAGAAATATCAGTAAAATACTAGATAAAAAACAAAGCCCTCTTAATTTTGTATTCTACAAAAGGGCACTTCTGTAAATCTTGATAACTACTTAATAATAAACAAATACAGCAATAACCCAATGGTGGTAAGCCAAATAAATCTGTTTACTGTACATACACGAAATTTGTTTTGTGTATACTTGTTTAGGTGTATGTTCGATTTAAATTCATTGTTGCATTTCGTGTTCTGTTGTCCTTCCCCCTTCTCCAAGGACACAGTAAGTGAAGTTCATTCGTGGTCACGTCATGCGTGGGAGTGTCAGACTCCAGTTCGCCATTCCTCCATGTGGATCACAGGACAGGATCACGAATTTCCGCACAGCATCGGTCCACACTTCAGCACACGATCTGTTCAAGTGTGACCATGGATAGGCAAACTGCACGCTTGGTAACCGATCTCTGTTGTGCACAGCAGTCGGGATCATCTGAAAGCTGCTTGAATAGTGTAGGGAAGTTGGGTGTCAAGGATGGATGTGCTGTGTCTTGTGACCGCGTGTCGCGAATGTGCAAGTGCGTGGTGTGCATGTGTACGAGCGGCTCTCCGTGGCTACAGGTCGCTCTCGCCGTAGAGAGCGGTGGAGAAGGACATATAGTCGAGTGCGCCGGGCACGGCGTCAGGCCCGCGGTACGGGGCCATTCGGGCGATGCAGTACTCAGCCTGATCCGGGGGCAGCTCCCTCCGCAACTCGTCGGCCGTGATGAAGTTCTGCACCCATGAGTTCACACACATCAGCAGCACACATTAATTCAGCGAGCACTCGATTTCCTTGGTGTACACAATTACACAAAAACACACTCCCTCCTTTTCTCAATAACACACTGCTTTGTACATAAATGTGTTAGACTTCGTCAATATACTCCTATATGAAGGCCTCGCCGCATCAATTCAAAGAGGACTGATCTCCAACCTCTTCATCGAGGGAATAGGTCTCTTGCATCTATGTTTGAAGAGCAAAGGACAGGAGACACAACCTTATGGGTACACAATGTATGTAGACCTTCTTTTGCACCATACATAGCCAACCATGCTAAATCGGAAAACCAGTTGCCCATATTCAAAGAAGAAAAAAATATCTCAGACAAGTCGGCTCCAAAAGCCAGACCTTAATTCCTGCTGACTCCAGAGGAGAAAAGAATCACAGGAAATGCCATGATCTGCTAGAAACACTGACCTTGTCGCCGGCGAGGATCTTGAAAGAGGCGATGACCTGGTCGGCCGTGTCGGTATCGGTGGTCTCGCGCGTCATAAAGTCGATGAATGACTGGAATGTGACCAGGCCCGTGTTGTTGGGATCAACGACTGTCATGATCCGCGCAAACTCTGCTTCTCCCTGTGTGGCCAAGGGACAACAGACAATTACTTAGCAATGTAGAATGCATTTTCATACACAAAATACCTTAAGTATTTAGTTACGTTGCAGTTGGCTGAGTGGCTCAGATCAGAATGCTAAGCCAGCACTGCTCAGATGAATCATTTAATCCAGGATTCTGCCACCGGTGACTAAACCGGATTCTTAAGTGTAGTGATTGGATGGCCTTAGGATGGTCTCCAATGAATTCACAAAAAACACTTTGTAAAATTAGGTTATGTGCCTAATATAGCTAAATTTGAGCTCTGAAAATTTACATTTTAATGTCATGAAAGGAACATAAAGCTCAGTGGGAGAATGGGTGGGAAAGAGCTGCCCCCTACTGTGTGGCATACAGGTAAGTTGAAAGGATCTCAGATTAAACTGATATCCGATTCTGTGTGCTCTTCTCTCACACAGCGTGTTGAACTTCTCTGCGAGAGAATAAAATGGAAACTTCATCTCAAAAAATGCCATTGACATTATCAAGATAAAATTAGGGGAAAGGTAAAAAAAAGTATTTAGTCAATCGCATTTGGCAAAAAAATTTAAACTCCCTATTCCAATCTAAATATTATTACAAAGCCTTTACAACCCAGACTATACTTGTACCTAAACCAGTTACGATGTAAGAAATTATATTATACTTAAAATGGATTCCAAACCGATTTAGGACACACTGTGTATGTATTTTAAATTAGATACTCTTCTAAACAGCCAATTTATTGCGTCAGAAATAATTATGGGGCTGCACGTTACCTGCTGGTCATTCCCTACGTCGTAGCCCAGGCTGATGAGGCAAGCCTTGAACTCCTCCGCACCCAGCTTGCCAGAGTGATCCTAGACCATGACGGACAGTTTGGCGAGACCAACTTAAACTATTGATCAGCAACTCATACATCTACATTTACCGTATTCTGCAGATTATAAGACAGATTTGTAAGACGTAGCCAAAACAAGTGCCCGGTGTCAATAAAGTAATACAAATCTGGTCACACACAGACCTACTGTACAAAATGCTTCGCACCCGCCAAATTTTACTTTAAAATACAGGGGGAAAAGTGTCTATAATATTCCAGAGAATACGGTAGAACCATTTGTTAACGCAAGGCCAGATGAAGTCCACCCGATAAGCATCGTAAAAATAATCACATTCAAGTACTGCATTGTTAACATTTATGTATTCTATGCCACTTAACGGAGTGAATTACAAAACTAAATATGTCCGCGCTGCGGTTAATGCATTGAATATAAATTGCCACTTTATTGTATTTTCAAGAGAACCTGCAGTACCTTGTCGAAGTGGTTAAAAGAGGCGCGGAATTCATGCATCTGCTCCTGGCTAATACCCTTGGCGTCCCGCGTCAGGATCTGGGTCTCCACTTCGTTGATGGTGCGAGCGATGGTCGTGAGCAGCTGCTCCCAGCCCACGCGGATGTGCTGAACACACGACACGGTGCAATAAACCTCTTAAGACAGAGCGCTCATATTCCGCGACATAAATGTATGACATTCTCTCAGCCTGCCTTTACATTAGCTACACCTTACAGGATAAGGGTAAAGTATAATGTAATGCTTAACCATACGAAGCTATAACATTACATACTGATGAAGCTAATTCCGACTACTCAGGGTCTTAGAGACAAAGCATGACATTACCATAAAGACCACTGGCCTGATACCTGCATGTGGGTGTGTGTGCACCGCCACTAAGTCGTGTTAGCCGCGTGCCCGTGTGTGACCTCGCTGGTGCGAGGAACGAGGTATGTGCAGTGTCCAACCATCAGGGCGCGATGGTGCACACCTGTTATCGAGCCCTCTGGAGGCAAACGTTGGTACATCATATTTTTTTAAATTCCCAAACCCCATTGGGCTGTAAGCAGGCCAAGAAATGGCAGTACAGCAAATTGGTTCATTAACCTGTTTTTTGGACCTATGAGTGTTTTCCCCTCTTGTGCATGGATTTTCTCTGGGTACGCCATAAAAAAATCTCCTTACAAATAAAATTGGCCAAAACTCTCAATGCAAGATCCTCATGAAAAAGTACTGAGACTAAGTAGGACTTTTCTGCGTAAATTACATTATTAGTATGGCTTAGTTATTGCACGATAGGGTGAGACAGGGTTATAGATGCAAAGGAGGTTGTGATGATCACCCACGGGTTTGCATCCAAGATGCAGACCTAAAGCCAAAAGGGGAAGTCGGTGATACAGTGACAGGGGGGGTCTTTGACAGGCAGGTATTGACCTAACTCGGGGATCGAGAGGAAGCAATGCCAAGGTGTTGCAGAATCAATGGCACTGGCCGTAACCTTTCGACCTCGAGTTAATGCCTATGCCTGCCTAGTGGAGCTGGTGCACGCTGTGCGCGGAGTGCAACTGCGTCATACGCAGCGGTGCACATCGTGCGTCGTGCGCACCTCCATTGTGTAGTTGGTGTGCTTGTTGTCAAAAATGAGGGCCTCCTGCACCAGCTGGTACTCGCTCTCCAGTTTGTCGATGTTGGGCTTGTAGTTGATGATGTTCTGTTCGTAACGTCTCAGCTGGTTCAGCTGGTCCTCCAGCGTGCCGTGCATCTCGATGGAGATGTGTCCAATCTCCTGCAACAACAAACGCCCAACACGCAGCACATGGCATATTTGAAGGCTGAATGAGAAAGACAGCCGGGTGGCTCAATGTCACTGTGACTCCCGAAAATAGTAAATGGTACGTACTTAAAACAGCTTCCATAACTGGTGAAAATTTAGAATAATGTTTAACATCACAGTATTATTAATAACAATTTTAGAACCAGCCAGGTGGCTCAGCAGTAGAGCGAGCAGCTAACAATCGGAAGGTTGCAAGTTCAACTCCTGGTTAGGGTTTGACTCAGGCCATCATCTCTCTGGGGTCGAAAAAATACACACCACTTTGTGGGGAAGTTATCCGTGGTTATATTATGGACTCAGCCCCGATGTAGGAATGAGAATTTCCACCACTGGCTGTAAACAGGAGAGGAGAACCACCTCAATGCTCATTTAAGCAAGAAATTACTTTGACCTTTATTTAATGAGATAGGAGTACACCTACATTTAGCTTTAATGATAAATACGTTAATATTGACCCTCATTAAATATTCAATTTTTAATCATAACTTCATGTAAAAATTGGCATCAATTCCACCTCAATCAAGTTTCAATGTGCTGCAAGTCACTATTCAGCATGAACGAGTGGGAATGTTTTCCACAAAATTATAGGCAACCATAAATTGTATAATTTATGTCTTCATATGAACATGCACAGCTTGCTATACAGGCATTGTACAGCATGTGAAATGCACACACACGTGTCAATGTATACAAAACTAATTATTTTCTGGTGAAAGATGATTCCGAGAGATAGACGGCTTCTATTTATGAAGAGGTAAGAGCGCCTCCTGCTACCATGAATCTATTATGGGAGATCTGGATTTAGCAGATACATCAGCAGGACATAAAACAAATCTCAGTGTGAAAACAAGCAAAAAATGCTCCACAATTAAGAGTAATATTAACCTTTACATTTTGCAATTATTCATCAGTGCATATGAAGCAAGGTTAACACATGTTTGTAAAACAAACTCATGTAAAAATGTTGACTTAAAAACATTCGTGACTGCAGGATTTCATATTACTTGGTTCTTTCGGTAAAGCCACGTAGATATAAAAATAATCAAGTGAGTAAAAATAATAACAATAAAATACAAAATTATAAAAAAAACACTGATTCAGACTGTAGCCTGGTTCTTAACCTCGGTGGAGTGTAATGGGCAGTCTATGATGTAGACTGTAGCAATGGTTATTAAACTGAGTGAGTGTACTGGCAGTCTATAATGTAGACTGTAGCCTGGTTATTAACCTGAGTGAGCGCACTGGCAGTCTATAATGTAGACTTATTCTGGTTCTTTCAGTCATGAAAATAAAACAAAAACCACGACGTTTCGATCGCAACACAAGCGGTCGTCATCAGGAAAATGGGGGTTAGCCTCTAAAGGCAAACTGTTTATAAAGGTTTAGAGGTGGGCGTAGCCCAAGTGTGTCAGCAGCATGGGCGGGGCAGCTAATGTTAATATAGGAGAAAACAACGTCAACGCAGTGGGTCTACACCAATCAAAGGGCTGCCAGGCAATCATTGCACCTCGCTCCACATACCCACACTGCTGACAGTTGAGGTTGACAAGAAAACACAAATCAAGTCATGACCCAAATTGGTTGATGACATATTTCCAATGATGCTGAGTTTATAACCATCCTCTCGGTTGAAATTGTGTCTGTGTCTGTATATATGGATGGCTTCATGAACGAACCTTTGTTGAAAGCCAGTCGGCTTGCAAAATACCTTCGTCTTAAGAGAAATAAATTTCGTGTGAGCCAGCCGCATTGAAATAATAATCAGCCATTGCAGAAGTATAGGTCCTATACTTCTGCCTTATGCTCATGAACACGGTCTGACACATGTCGCTTAGTTTCCCCAATGTAACTGCTGCCACAGATACAGCTTAGTTTGTAGATGCCGAGATATTGCATGTCAGGAATCTTGTCCTTCACAGATGGGATCCGATCACAAATTTCATGTACTGTGTTAAATCGGACCTGGATCTTGTGTTTGTTCATGATTTTGGAAATATTTTTGGTGGCCCCTGCTATGTATGGCAAGGTGATGGTTTGTATTGGATCCTCAGATGGCTCCTTCCTCACGGTTGGGGCGATGACTTTGCAGATTGTGTAGTCAGAATGGCTCATTGAGCCAGCTGATCTGTTTTTGTTTCAGACATCCAATAAAAGTAGCATACCATCCTTTTTTACCTCCATGGTGAATTTGATGGCTGGTGTATGGAATTGATGTGCTTGAGGAATTGGTTCAGAGCCAGTCGGCCATGTGGCCAGATGACAAACGAGTCATCCACGTACCTCTTCCACAAGGACGGGCGTAGAGTGGATGCCTGGATGGCGCCAGTCTAAAATTTTTACGTGAAAATATTGGCTACAACAGGAGATAAGGGAGAAACCATTGGGGTGCCTTAAGTGTGTTTGTAGAATGTTCCATTACAGGTAAAGTATGGAGAGGTGAGGCAGTGTCTCACTAGGGCCGGTACACTCATTCATGTTAATAACCAGGCTACAGTCTACATTATAGAATGCCAGTGCACTCACTCAATTTAATAACCATTGCTACAGTATACATCATAGACTTCCCATATACTCACCAGCTTAAAAACCAGGCTAGTCTACATCATAGAATGCCAGTACACTCACCGATGTTAATAACCATTGCTACAGTCTACATTATAGACTGCCAGTACACTCGCCAAACTTAATAACCAGGCTACAGTCTACATGATAGACTGCCAGTACACTGACTCTGATTAAGAACCAGGCTACAGTCTACAAGTGTTTTTGTTTTTATTATTATTTTATTATTATTTTATTTATTATTTTTCTATCTACGTGACTTTACTGAAAGAACCAAAGATATAAACTCAAGTTTATATCCCAATAACTCTCGATGTGCAGGCTTGCAAAACCAACTGGTCACCAATAAGTAACTCCCATCCAAAAACATAATTTGATGCCAAACTGTCAATTCTCTGTGATAACTTTACTTCCAAGTGCATTTGACATAAAACCGTGTCTGTTTCCATGCAGTCACTTAACTATTTAATGCTTCTGTACCTTATTTTTTAATTCACTACGATCAGTCTAAAAGCATTCACCAAAGCAGATTTACGTTACAGGGAAATTACGATTTAAAAATTGATTTGTTTGTGCAACATTTTCGATTTCCCATGTGACAGTTTATTTTTGCTCCGATTTCGATTCGCTTCATTGGTGTACTTTGTTTAATTTGTTTTGCTTGACATTTTGGTGACCCGGGTCATTCTTTGCAAATGAGACTATCCTGGTGGTCTCGAGTTCTCACCTAGTTAAACCAATACACTAAAAAGGCACCCGCAGAAAAGGTTTCCACACGGTTGACATTTGGAAAAAATGTTCCAAACGCAACTCCCACGGCGAGACCGTGTGCTGCACCGAGGCACACGGCTTACCTCCAATCTTGGTTTGTATCCAGGGCCCCCACGATGTTGGCCGAGGCTGCGAACTGCCGACGGAGCGTCTCATTGGCCTGCTGCCGTGCCAGCTCATCACGCAGAGAGTCGTCCCGCAGCGGAACCTGCTGTGTCATCTGCAGGCAGAATAGGAGATGCATCAATCCATCCACTACAATCAACACTCATGCTCACCACACATGCATCAAAGTGTGGCTCCCAGACCAGTCATGGATCAATATCAAATTTTGCATTCACTATCTTCAAGTTCCTTCATGGACTTGCCCCTACCTACCTCTCCCATTTCATCTCACTAAACTCCCTCCCCCCCGCCCCCCTCCATGCATGCTCCTACTTCTCCCCTTTCATCTCACACTTATTCCCCTCTATGCACTCTCCTACATCTACCCTCTTACCTCGCTCTACGCCCCGCCATGCACTCTCCACACCAGCAATGAACAATATCAATCAAAGCCATGTCAGTGGAAGGTCAATCATTTTACTCTGCTGCCCACAATAGTCTGAAATTCCCTTCCCCCAGTCACCTGTCTTGTAATCCCTGAACACACGAGGTGTTACATTCACAATATAAAAAACAAGTCTTGAGTCAACCTCAAATCATGACAATTCACCAAATCACGATGTTCTTATAGGGTTCAATGCAGACCATTGTTTACAGGGTAAATTGAAACCAGAAGGTTTCTCCCTTAGGGATTGGCGATTAACTGCTTGTTTCAGAACATCGGCATTATCACTGGCTGTTCTGCACTGCGTTTCAGGATTGATGAGGGTGCTTTGAGAGCTTGCGCTCGATCCCAAAGGAGACTGGCGTGCATTGCTGCGAGCTGTGAGGGATGGCTCACTCTCTCCCACTTGCTGGAGATGTCGTGTGGCGTGATGGCGCTGTACGGATTGGGCCCGGCCAGCTTGACGTTGTACGTCTGCGCCACCTTCTGAATCTCGTTGTGCACGCCCAGAATGGCGCTCTTTTCCTTCTCTGCTTCAGGCAGGGTATCCTTGAACTGCTCGTGAGCCGATATCAGACCCTGCACAGAAATGTAAACATTTTCTGAGTTTAATGAAGGTGAAATTGAAACGTAAATATACTTTCATAATATAATGCACTTTCATCTCAGAAAACGTTGTTGGCTCCCAAAACTATAAACGCACGCTCTTGTAAAATTATGATTGCTTCATCAGTAAAAAATGTAAAGGGTGCCAACACTGCTGACCTGTATCTCATCGATGGTGGTGAAACGATGAACATGTCCTGCAGGTCCTCCACAGCTCCGTCCATCCACGTGTTGAAGGGCGCCGCCCTTTTGGCGAACTCCAGGTACAACTGGTCGATGGTCTCCAGGACCTTCTCTGTCCTCTGCGTTCATAGACCCGATCGACCTCAATTTAACCGATGGCTTTTGATACGCGAGCAACCCCCACCAAACGCTACTCTTGCTTTGAAATATAGGGGAAAAAGTATATCTTATTATATCCAGAGAATAGGGAGTTAGTTTCACAACAACCAAAAAGTTAACAGTGAAAGCAGACGGACACGTGCTACACCAGCTCACCTCTAGGGTATCCTTGCGTCTTTGGGTGAGGTCGCCGAGCTTGTCCCACTCGGCACAGATGTCCTGGCAGCGTGCGTTCACGCTCGCCACGTCGTGGTAGTCCAGCTCACTGCGCGAGGCCACCGAGGAGAAGAATGTGGGGGAGGGGATAAACATTTAGTAGTGGATATTAATCCCCAGAGTACAAAACAAGCAATTGATAGGTTTACGCAGCCACATGGACGATCAGCGACTGGAAGTTTTAATGACTGGCCACAAGGTGTCAGCAACACACGCTGGATTCGCTTTTCTCTAAAGCCCTCCTATGTGCCATAGCCCTAAAATGGCAAGTGGTAAATTACTATTCTCTCAGTGCAACAGCATTATTCCACGCAATAATTTTACAATGCTCCGGATATTGAGGAATTAACAAGTCGAGTCATATTTGCACGCATGATGAAACGCACAGCACAGGTGTGCTAGAGCACCTGCGGACCAAGTGCCCACGTTCTATCTCTCCCTCTCTATGCATGCCACACATACTTGAGCTCCTGGGCAATGGCGGCGATCTGCTCCACTCGGTCCTGGTGAGCAGCCAAGTCGCTCTCAAAGGCTTCGTGCTTGCGCAGCAGTGCCTTGAGCTCCGTCAGAGACACCGAGTCATAGTCGCGCTTCTCCAGCATCGCCTCCTTGCCTGGCACACGCGAAACCGCGGGCTTAGCAGGTGGCAAGGCAGCAGCAGCAGCAGCATCAAGCACAACAACCACGATGCTGAACAACAGAACGATCGCATTCACTCCTCCGGGGTGACAGATGCCGATGCCCCAGTTTGACCTGCTAATTGTACCACGGAGCCCACCTATGGACATAGCCACGTGCTGAAGCGATGGTTTTGGGAAGTGGTACCTGCGGTCCACGCCTCGTGGATCTTGGCCTTCTGCCTGAACTTTTCGGCCAGGTGGTCCGAGCCGCTCCAGGCGTCGGATCTCATTGAGGAGCCACTCTTCGTAGCCCTTCTCCGCCTGCTCCAGCATGGACCAGCCATTCGCGATGTCCTGTGATGAGAAGTACACGTGCAGGTGTGAAACGGCGGTTTTGGTGACACCTCTCTTTCCATGACGCACAAAACCAAATGAGGAACACGAATAAATGCTCATGTGTACACGTGCAGCATTACGGTCAATCCACCGCTTGGATGAGGGCCTTCCCACACCATGCGAGTGGCGGGGGGGGTGATTTGTCCAAAGTTCTGTAACTCCCGTCTGCTGCCAACAACATTGCCCCACGACCTACGACACCTGTTTCATGCATGGCGGTCACCCATCCAAGGACGATGCTGGCTCTAATCCCGCTTATCTTCTGAGATCGAGTGGATTGGGGCACTGCATTCCAGGAGATGTCGTCACAGGCTGCACCAAGTAAAATAAATGTAAACTGCGGGCCAAGAGAACGATTACTGTGCCAGAGAGGCCGAAACTCACCGAGACCCATCTTGCCCTCGGAGGGCATGAAGGCAGGGGCGGTTCATGAGCCGCAGCTTGGTCTGCAAACGTGTTGAAGCTGATCTCCAGCTGGCACTTCTCCTGGGGCCTTGGGTGGCTTGTGCACGCGGCGGTAGTCGCGGAAGCCCTCCAGCTTGCCTTGGCATGGCCTGCATGGTGTTCTCCGGCACGCGGTTCTCCAGCCATGGGATGGTACGCCGGATCCAATCCAGCAGCTGAACATGGAATCACAAAGCAAAGGCGCTTGTCAGGAGTCTACAGCTGACAGAAGCACTCGATATTTGCAATAATACTGTGAGCGTTACCCACTTGTAGGATGTTCCACAAAGTAAGCAAGCTTACGGTAAACATTTCAAAATCATCCCAACAATTAAATTTAAGGTGTCATTTTGAACAAAATTACCTTCAAAGTTAATTCGTAAATTTATGCAATAAGTCAACAGTTTGACACAATATATGAAACTGAATCCACCATCACAGCGTGGACAAAAAAAGGTCAAGTCTGTCCGAGTACGTCTGACACCGTCGTATTTTTATGAGCATATCTCCATTATCAGGAAAAGTTGACAAACTCCTAATCCGCTGAAATACCATGCCAAAGTAAAAAAGCCATTCCATCATTACACTATTGATGGCCTACATCTTTAAAGTGTCAGAAAATATAAAAAAATGTACATCGTAATGAAATTAAAATTCTATATAAAGTGCTGAGATTGATGATGTGACATGTTACCATTCATAACAACTATGCGTACCCCCTACAGTGATGTAAAAGCGTGTGTGCGTGTGCTGGCTGGTGGCAGTGGCGGCGCTCCTCACATCCGCTGGCCATGTGCTCGTAGTCCTCCATGAGTTTCTCATTCTCCTGGTTGACAGCCAGGACCTTGCAGATTCTGTTAGCCGCCGTCTCGGCCTGCGCAAAGGAACACAACGTTTATGAAGCATGCCAAGACCGTTCCGCAAAATCCCCAACGCAGAACTACGTCTATCGACTGCCCACAACACCCAAAGACACTTTATAGTACCTACCCAACACGCTACATCTCAAGGGTGTAGGCGTGTCTTCCGACATTTTCGCAGCAGAGATGAATCGTGCGCCAAGTTCACTCGCTCATCTTGAGTGACACGGTTGTTATAAGGAGGTGAAAATGTCAAAAACATCAAGTTTAACATTAACCAATGAAGTCGTATCAATGGGTTCGTATAATGTTATTGGGACTTTGTGGGGCAGTGCGTGCATCTTGAATGAAGCCCTCCTTGTTTCTCATTCCAATGTCAGACCACAGACTTCATGGCTGTTTCGAATTACACAGCTAAGAATTCAAGTGGTTTCCAGCTGCTGCTCTACTGACTTATTAAATCTAGATACGCCGCTACACGAATAAAGACACTTATGTGACCCTTGATGTGGCACAGCGATTACAATAAGTATTAATCAAGTGAACAAAATTTTTAAATCTATGGACTTTTACATTTTATTAAGTTGTACTTTGTCACGGCAAATTATTTCAATAGAAAATTGGAGACATAATTAAAGATTTCACTTCTCCCACTACGGAAAATTACCATCACCGCACAAGGCAAAACGTATCTAATATTGTTAGTTACCCTTGAGACAGCTCATTATTGTCAATCAGAAATAATTAAGCATTCCATTCTTCAGCAATCACCTTGTTAAGGTTGGTTGCCTCCAACTGCTATAAAAATCGTCGTTATCATGTCAGCAGATGTCTGAACAATGGTAAGCGCCTGTGCTTTAACAGTCCAACGTGTTCAGTGGCCATGAGTAGCGACGTGCAGTCAAGCAGAACGCAGGCCTCCATTTGCCTTCAAAGATCAAAAAAATCCAAGCGTGTATACACAAAGGAGGAGAGGGGCATAATGAGCATAGCAGGAAGGCAAATACCTGTGCAGAGCACCATCAAGAAGGGGGAAAGGCAGGAAAGGGAAAGCCTAACACGTCTGTCCTGGGAACTACACAGGAAAGAGGGAGGGCAGTCGGGGAAGAGGGAAGGAGAGAATCTTTAACCGTGGTGTACTTCTGCAAAGCCTCATGTAAACAATCTTTGCAATACACGTTTCGGACAAGACGTCATACTTCAATTTTTACTACAGCCGCACCGCGTAACTTAACGTGTGTGAAACACGTGCACGTTGAATATGCGCCACCTCTCGCATCAAAGGGACAAGCCAAAGATAAGGACCGTCTACAGTGAAATACTTTCATTGCATTAACACATGGCCGAATAGCCACACTATAATTTCAATAGGACGCACACCGCTACCTCAAAACAACACTTGCATGCGCTTGAACGCAAAAACAGCTGCCAAGTGTCCTTCGAGCCAGGCTTAGAGTCACGTGACATGCAGAGGGCAAGTCAGAGCCTGCTGCTGGGATAAAACACCCTCCTCGGCTATGCCGCGTGCATGAAAATCCTCCCGAGTGCTCATGCGCAAAACCCACAAACACCCGCCTGCACCAATAGCAAACCGAGTTGTGGAAACTTCGCTTCAACGGCAGAATACCGCTCACCGACCTCAGTTCTCCTACGTTTGCTTTATCGCCACTGCAATTTCGGGATGCTATTGCAGTGCAAACGGTCAACGCTCTAGATTTGCGAACCGGAAGTCACCGGTCCGAATCCATCTCTCGGCACAGCAGCTGAAAGAATGGCGCAAGTTTCTTAAATACCTCCCCCCCCCCCACCGCTTCTGTCGACTAAGCGGTATAAATGGCTACACCAGAGTTAGTCGATTAGCAGGTTGCATATGGGTGGAGTAAAATGTGGGCACATCAAACATTTCAAAAAAACAAACATCTAGCATGGAAGAGTAGATCAAAATAAAATCTCGAGGGGCTCTCTTGAGTTTCCTCCAATGGAGGCCCTTTCCACCAGCAGTGAAGTTGGCAAGCAAACTCAGGCCAGTACCTTTACCCGTTTCTGCAATCTCACCCTCCGCGCATCCCTTAATGAACATCAGTTACGCTGCTTGGGCCTTCACCAATAGCTGCACGAATGCCACCAACCGCACAGTGCTCGCGTGGTTGGTAGTGCATAACTGAGCGCGTGCGCCAGCGTCCTTCTCGGATCCACTATCAAAGTGCGAGTTCATACGTGGGAGGAAGCGACTATCCATGCCTGCATCAACTCCAGATGTCCCCGGGGGGGGGGGGGGGCTCACCTTCTGCGCGCCCCGAGAATGCATGGTAGTAACACGACACGTAGGTCATGATGGCCTTCTCATCTGGACGTGCTGTGCCCACGATGTCTGCACAGACACGCGGGCCATAAAAACAGCCATGATTAGGTAAACACTATCATGCATGCAGATTAAATAGCAATTAAATAACAAATGCTGTTAACAATACATTAGCAGTCATCATGTTCCCCTTTGCCCTTAGTCCAATGTACGATTTTAACATAATGTACTCTCACTTCTTGCCTCGTAAAAAATAATGGTAGCGTGTTAAAAAGTTACCGATGACCTGCTGGCCTGAAAGCTGATCAAAGAGAATGCAGTCTTCACAGCTGCGTCTAGGGTATTTATTATAAATGTATAATTCAAAACGCTTGCTCACAGCCAGTATCATTGAGACTTTCAACTGTTTCCAACTTCACCAACTCGATTCAGCATAATGATAATGAAAATAATCATCTGAATAACATTTTTACCTTCTGCATCCAGCATCTTTGGAATGTCCAAGTACTTCTCTGCCACTTCGAAAGCATTGTTGAGGTTTGTGATGGGATCATCCTGCCAATAAGAATGCCCAGGTCAATCAACACAACAAGCTGTGAGTATAAAACCAGAGTTCTGAATTTTAAAAAAGCATCTTCATTTGAATGTATGCAAAAAAATAAAGATTATTTCAATTCTTAAAAACACTATTTGCATCAACAATAATTAAGAATGTACTCCTCGCCCGTACCAACAAAGATTGCAAAGATAAGACAGTGCGTACCTTTCGCAGTTTCTCGTAGTCGATCAGGTCCGGCCGGTGCCTGTGTATGAGGGCATTGAATGCCAAGCCATCCTTCCAGCTACAGTCAGGGCACAAACAACGAGATTACTTCCATCGGGGGACCCAAGCCGATCCGTCTCAAGTCCTTTTTTCAGCACGGCTGCACAGCAGAAATGTGTTCCACGGAGGTCACGTTTGAGGGGCCATCTATCAGCGACATGCTCGCTGGGGCATGGACTTGCATACCTTCTACGCTTCTATCATCGAACGAGCGGACGGTGAAACAAACAAAAAAAAGTGACGCGTGGGAGTCGGACAACCCAAGGCAACAATAAAATGTGCGAGTTGGACGCAAGCATGCACACAAAACCTTCTTAATTTTCTCACAAGCATTATAATCTTAATCCATGCCGACTTAGTACATATAAGAAGGTTTAAATCTGGAAAATGAAGATTTAATACAGTGGCTGTTTCAGATGCATGGGCTCAGTGGAGACCTCATGAGTTACAGATCTGGAACAAACAACAAGCTCTGGCTTGCAATTTAAATCCCCACCACTGTTATTTACATTCTCTTGAATATTTTCTAGATTGTTGAAAAAACAATAACCCAGCTGCCTGAAAATGCTACTTAACCGGTGCATATTTGGTTGCCAGCAATGAGCAAACGTAAATAAATTCAGTCAGTTGCATCTTTCTAACTTACAGCAGGTGCCTTAAAGCTGAGGACAAGACGTACTAACCTGATGTGAAAGTTCCTGCACGTTGACGTTTTTATACGGAGCCGTCTTCCGCTGGCACCAGAGCAGGAGGCCCTCCTTGGCAGAGGTTTCTGTACAAAAATGCAGCCGTTTTTTCTGTCTGCGAGTGTGCGCAGTAATACATGTAACCTTAGCCTATGAATGACACGTTGATCCTAGATGCACTTTTTTTCCCAATGGAGGCTCACTTACCTTCAACAGAGATGTCCTGAATGGCAAAACGCAGAATAATTGTCCAGATCATACCCAGGGTCATCTTTGCATTTCATCCACAATTTCTGCAAAAAATAAACATATAAAAAGAAAAGGTGAGCGATGGTCTCTACATTTTACCAAACTTTATAGGAATAATTTGAACTTTTAAATGCACACAGTATTCGCTCACTCTCAAAGAAATGAAATGATTCAGAAGCATAAGGAACCACAATCAGCTAAGGGGAGCCCTGGCAGTTAGCTGGTACCTAACTCCCCTCAACTTTTATGGTCCTCTATATATTAAGGCGTTATCGGCCCAATTAACAATTGTTTATATGTGGGAGGAAATCGGAGCACCTGGAGATAATCCCACGCACGAGAGGGGGCAAAACCTCTAAATTATACAGGTGGAAAAGATGGAGTCCACATTTTCCGTACCACATTCTGCTATTATCCTGACAAGCCAGGGTATAGCATCTCCTCGACACTCACTCTGAGAGTCACAACATTTGTGCGATCCACCAACCCCCACTTTCAGTGGATTACAGGCATGTGCCACTACTGCTTGGCACAATTAAAAATACAGACAATACTGCTTTACACACTGGAGGCCCAAGTATTTCCATCTCTTGAATACATGATAAAGTGGCATTTTTATGGAGGAATAAAAAGCAATACATTTAACCACAACATTACAAGTTGTCAGAGAGGCTTAATTACAATGTGATCTGCGTTTAATAATAGAAGTGGTGGGGGGGCGGGGGGGAATAACATACAAATAAAGCAAAATCGTGGTAACAATGTGAATGCCTGATGTAACATGGCAGTTAAATCAATGATTTACGCTCAGTTTGGGATCTGCAGATTAACGGTGGAATGTCGGCACGTCCGGCATGTGCCTGGGACTCCACATTGTGCACAGGGCTATGCACCACTTGGCCACCTCCCTTCCCAGTTTGTCAGTTTGCCAGGCTGCCAACAAAGTTGGGAACTCTGCTCATGGAAGCTGTCTGGATAAGAAGTATTTTACATCAACCAAGAGAAGCACATTTAGTGCAACTTTAAATGTCGTGTTTGCAGTTCTGTAAAACTGAGATGAAAGTAAGATGAAACATGACCTAAACAAGTTGTGGTTATTATTACGGTCAATACATTCAGCCGAAAGAAACCAAGTGGCTGAAGAAGTAGAGGGCATAAATAGAAACAATGTTAAAGGCAAATACAAAGCCGTTCGCCACGATTACAACAGGAGCAGACATTCACCAATATGAAACCCATGCACTCCACCAGTTACACAAGTACAGTTAGTAAAACTGGCAGGGTTACATTTTTAAAAGACCCCACTAAATGAAGGCTGAAAACAACTTTACCACCACCATTATTAAAAACTGCCTCATCATCGGCCACGATCTTGCTTGTGTTGACTCAAGACCTTCCAAAGCCATCACCATCATTCATGGTCACGCGATACAATAAAGCACCTCGCTCCTGCACACAAGCTCTTCTCATCATTATCTTCTTAGTAGACATGCGACAGTGTTTGCCCTCTCCTTTGGCTGCCACTACATAGCTCGTCTCGACCACTGACCATCATCCCTTCTCATGATGTACCCTGCCCTCCATCTCCCATGTGCACCGGGTCAAGCGGCATCGAGCCGGGTGTCTGAATTACGGAGTGCCCGTCACGTCTGAATCCCACGGTGTAGAGGGCACCGGGGGCAGTGACATAAGAGGAAATCAGCTTATGACAATCCCACCTTCTGCACCAATGGACACGAGTTTCACACCCTTGCTGGCAATGAAATCCAGAGCCTTGTTGACATTGGAGATCTTGTGCACTCTCATCTTTCCCCTCTCCGGCTTGGCCAAACGCTCACCTGTAAAGTAAACATTACGCCGTTGCTTAAACATCACGCCGAGCTCTACATTCATAGCCATAGATGTATCCAACGTGTGAGCAATAATGCATGATATGCACAGATCACAAGTTCAAAATACCATTCAAGTTATACCACTCTTCAGAATACATGTTCAACTTTGAAGAAAATAAAGGTACAAGAATGTGCTGGTAATGTCTATGTTTCACAAGAATTGTAAGATTGCATCAATAAATAAATTATTATCGATGCATGCAAATAATCGCATGTACGCATATGTTGTATGTAATAGGTTTGCATCATCGATGTAGCCACCAGTGGCTGCTACATTCAGAACATTTTTTTTATTTTAAAATATTATTAAATATAATCGTAACCCTAAATCGTGACAATGCATTGAAGAGCTTGATGAGGGTCGGAGGGGGGAAGTACACTGTTAAGCATCTACCTCCTACCATAGCAGCGGTTTGCAGCCTGAAATTGCAGTTTTTTTATTAGGAAATACACTCAGCCTGCTGAAAATAATCCAACGACTTAACCTCGTGTGAAGTTGACAGCTAGTCACATCTCGTTAGCAGCCACCAGATCTTACCCGGAAAGCAAGCTACAATTATTCCACGGTGAGAAAAAAAACAATCACTTACAAATTGGACCCAATTACTCCCAATACGTCAACCAGCATGAAATTATTTTCTACTAAACGTATTGTGATTTGAACCTTCCAACAAATTCGATCTGTTATGCTCACTAAGCCTTTCATTTATTTGGAACAATTTCAACAATGGAAACAAACAATCCAAAGAGGGCAATTAAAATCACAAAAGTAAAGGCAAGCCAACATAAAACAGTACTTCTTACGATTGTCAGAATGCTCTTCATCTATGAGCTACTATTGTGTTCAGTTAAAAAAAGTGATTTCACAGAAAGCAAAGCGATTCATCCTACACTTATACCAATTTTAACACTTTCTGTAAATTGGGAAGGAAACTAAAATTATCACAATCGAATCTTTTGCTGTCACCCTACACTTGTACAAGACTCAGCACAATATCCAGCTGTTCAGATGTCGTCACTCGCTGTACTCGATGGACAATGCATCTTGACGTGGTGACGAGGTCCTTGTGCTTGGTGGAATATCACTGGTTGAAACCAAGCGTGAGCTCACCTGAGATAACCTCAAGGAGCAGCATGAGTTTCAGGCCGTTGCGGAAATCTTCATCGATGTTCTCGATGCCTGTGCCGGCCTTGCGCAGGTGTGAGTTGCACCATGCCGTGAACGTCTAGGGGGCCGAGAGGCAGCAGCACACAAACAACGTCAAAGATACCCCATATAGCCTTTAACAGATTGTTGGGGCAAGTGCTATTCGCGAGCAACTATAAAGGCCTGCAAAGAAAATAAAGAGGTGGGTGGCCAGCACCACGCCCAACCGCCTTAGGAATTTCCCAGTGCTGTTTCCACACACTACACTAAGTACTCATTTGAGGCAGAGTCAACCTAGGGTAAGCCAAAGACCAGTTCAGATAATCCCCACCGGTGTTGGCCATGAGCAGCAAAAGAGCTTGGGTCACCGGATACATAGCTAACTGCTGCACTACCGCTCCCCACTACATCAACACACAGGCATATATTATGCACACGCACACATCTGATACATGCATACATACACACTTGACAAACAATCACAAACAACCGTACACGCACAAAGATACACTCATGCACGGACACATGCCCACAGACACGCCCAATTTTGACTCGCCACGTAATTATACACAACACAGCGCTATGGTGATGTCACCATGGTGCTCGTATCAGAATCGGTGCCTTTCGAAGCCACCTAATCTCACCGCGCATGTACACATACACACACTTATGCCTGGTTTATCAGATGAAAATGTATCATGTCTAATTCACCGAGATGAGAATATTAGTTGTGTGGAAGGTAACATGAAAACACCTAACAGGCGGGCTGCACAAAGGCTCCTGAACATATTTCCACATGCAATAAGAGAAACAAACCACTGCTCCATACTCCAGTTTTAACATATGCTTTGAAACAAATACATTTAGTCTGGAACACCATACACAGTGCAACTCAAATTGTTTGCAAGGTTAAGTATTTGAATCCTGGAACGTTATGACAACCACCATAAACTATCACAACGTTTAGCCTCGCAGATATCGTAATGCGGAGTTTGCTAAATTTGTAAGAACACTCTCAAGCAAAACAAACCCAGCACGTTTGCACCCTCGAGTCTTGTGCTGCAATAAAACATCATGTGACTCGGTCATTGTTGGCAAAAATAAGCTCCCCTTCGCTCTGCACATCCTGTTTGCAGAGTTAGCATACTACACATACGGCCCTGTTCAGCACAAAACACACGGCGAAAGTGAGCAGAGCCCTCAGTACTCCCTGTTTAACATTCAAGCCTGCAGGCAAGCACACAAAAAAAACTTTAACTTCAAACTCTAACCGCAGTCTATGTCAGTTCGTGCTTTGGGCACTGAGAACACATACCAACGCCATGTACGACTAATAGGCAATGCAACAGGTTATTCTTAAAATGACAAAGTTTCATTTTGTATCACCAGTCGGTTCAGGGTGTAAATCCGTAATCTGACAGGTATATATACATCAAAAGAACCGCAACATCTCACACAAGTGACAGCTTAAGCTGTTTACATAACATCTCAATCACTTGAAAATGTCCACACCACTTACAGTTACACACACTTGGCTCACAAATATATACATTTGCTCTTCATTCTTTCAGTAATGGTGCAATAACATTACGACCCAGAAAACCCATTCATTACAGCCGTAATACTCCAAAAAAATACCAACTGGTATTCTCAAACACAACCAACAACACTTTGCTGCCAAATGCTAAATATTATGACAGCTACATTTACTAGCTTGCTTGCAGTGATACAATCATCATTTGGAGAAACAAGTATTTCTATCAGGAATCTGGTTTAACATCAACACTGCACACATAAGTTCTTTCTGCAGAATGCGCAATTGTTTGTTCTCCCCGTGTGTGCACAACTCTGCAAACAAAGCGTCCTGCTGTGCTCTTGACAGCCGCAGGTGCATGATGCTGCTGTTTACCAACTTCTATCCAAATGCCAAACACAAGGCTGACTCTTCGACCAGCTGAAGGCAGACGCAGTGCCTGACACAAAGAACCAAAGCCATTAATGCTCACCTATTTATATATTTACAGCACAAGGTGCGTATTCATTGGTCATCGTTTGGCGACATTGTTCCCCTGAGACTTATTCAGTAGACTTTGCTAGTCTGGCTTATCTCGACAAAATATACCAGCAAAGTGGCCGGTTAAATCAGGTCAGAGCTCTGAGGCTGCACCACTAAACATCCTGCGCTGGAATCCAGGCAGCAACCTAAGTCAGGTTTCTCAAGGTTAGTCAGTTGATGGTCTCAGCCCAATAATAATAATAGACTACGCCAACACAAACAAAACGTTACATTTGGTTATGCACTTACTTTGGCTGAAATCCTGTTCCGAGAATTAAAAAAAAAATCGATATCAGTGGCAAGTAGGTGGCAAATTAAATGTAGGGATGTCCTGCTTTGAGATTTCCGAATGGTTACTTGGTCACATGACATGGGGGGGGGGATGTTTTCACTATATAAAAAAGACACCACCCATAAAGCCAAATTACTTCAAGCATGGTAACTCGGGAAGTAAAAAGACTAAGTTTCACAACTCATTTGAATAGAGTGAGTATTGATTTATTATGCTTTATAATAAAAAAAAATCAGGTGAAAAGAAAGCTTTGAGAGCGGCTACCAGAATGAAGTATGCTCCAAGATACCATCTGGGATCAATGACCGTGCGTGAGCAGTCACGTACAATATTTGCATTTTGGATTTTTGTACAACTCATAAACTGAACGGTTAACTCGGAAACCATGAAGTTTACATGCATATTTTATTAAGCCGTGTCAGCAAGATATGTTCGTGTTCATTATATGTTTGAAACTCAACACGGTAGCGCAAAATGCGGAGATCTGTGGCAGTCCCCCCGCGTGGCCACTCAAGCCACCACGCACACACCCACTCATTCACAGCTCCAGTTCCCAATTAATTGACAGCACCCACGTGTATTCACTTCTTAAGGCTCCTGCCGATGATAACGTGTGGGGCTCTGAAACCAAACTTTGCAAGTCTCTATATAAATTATATCAGTGGCCATCGGTTAATTAACACTGCCTTATAAATGGAACACGACGAGGAATTTTCATGATTTAAAGCTTTCGTGACTGCAGGGATTCATATTCTTAGTTCTTTCGGTAAAGTCACGTTGAAGGGAAACAACAAAATAATAAAATATATAAAACACAATTATTTTGTTGTTTCCCTTCAACGTGACTTTACCGAAAGAACTAAGAATATGAATTACCGCAGCCACGAAAGCTTTAAATCAAAATTTTACAGATATATTTCAATTAAAAACGACTGTCTATTATGTTTTCAAAGTTGTTGCCGCTTCAGCGGATAACACCGACCCTTTGCGATAAAAACGATTGCTTAAACGTCTCTCTGCATCGAGGACCCCCCGTCGCTAAACTTAAGCGGGTTTTCTCCTCCCATGCAGATTTCCGAGTCCAACCACGCAGTGCCACTGCCTTGAGACATGTTGATCCCCTGCGGCCACGCCCTTCCTCCTGCCCGCCTCCCACCTGGAGGGGGGTGGTTGGGGCCTCGGCCCGGACCACGAGAGCCCAGCCGGTGACCAACGTCGATCCCCTCCCCTCTTCCCCTTCCTCAAGGCCACGGGGCTGCCCAAGCGTTCTCGGAGCCCCCCCCCCACCCCCCCCCAGTGGGCAACCATCCATTGGTTCCCGTGACCATTAATTATTCACATTTATTCCAGGTCTCCCTTACAAGACGTCAAGTCTTCAATGGGCTCTCACTTTGTGAAACACTGCAGAGGGGGCTAAGTATAGTAACAGTGTATCCGCCAAAGTGGATAAAGTGCATAGTTGCCGATTCAGCGAGCATGGGAAGTTAACCGCGAAACGGAAAGAATGCGTTGTTTTAAAAATGCAGATCCCGAGTGCGTGAGGCACACTTGATAAAACCACAATACTACCAGCACTTCATGCTCGTCGGGTGATGTCATACTACATTGATCTTCACATCCTCACAGAGGCTACTCGGCAAAAACGTCTATCCCTCTCATAATGGATAGCTCTAAAATTACAAAGTACCGAGACCAGACCGGATATCTCACTTGTCAGTACCATCTTAGTGAGGTTTTTTTTTTTTGTAAAAGGCCTATAACAGTGGCACGTACAATATAAACGTAAAAGTGAATTCATGTGATGAGACTTATCGACCATTAAACCAATTCGGAACTCTTAACTGTACAAGAGCAACTACGTAGTGTTGAACTTCTTTCGCGCCGTACGTATAGCCCAACCGTGCTAATCGAAGGTGCGGTGAAGGACAAACTAAACACCAATAAAGCAGTTCTAAAGAAACTCATGAGAGGGAAGACATCGAAGAAAATGGGGGATGAGGCCCTTTGCTCAGAGGTGAGACGATTCCATGTTGGCGACAACGGCGATGATTGGGGGCCATGCACTGGTGGTAGTTGTGGCCCGAACGCTCTCACAGCTCACGCTCTGCCAGATCCTTTGCTCGCTCCCATTCCCCGCAGCCCCAAATGATCGCCCCATGCGGCTGTGAATAACGGGCACGTAAACATGTCCCCGCCGTCCCACTGTTGGCCAAATCCCCCCCCCCCCCCCAGCGTGTAACAGCTGCACGGCTGAATCGAGTTGTTCGCCTGCACGTGAAATGCACAAAACGGGTGTTTGCATTGTCAGCATAGAGAGCGGGCGCAGACACACGTGCTGTTGTACTGTAGCTCCACGTTCGTCAACATCTACGCTGTATTTACCAAGCCGCGCCGAACAGCGTGGTGTAAAAGTACGGTCACGCAAACGCAACGACGAGCAACACTGTGGAGTCCTCATCATCCAGCAATGGATTCGGCGAAAAGGGCCATGCCTCTCCTTGCAACGCTTGAGCGCATCCTTGGGCCACTGCCTTGTTGCATAAAACACCACGAAGTTGCCTTCTCCGTTCCCCCCAACTTAATGTGCAATTTGCCCGATTAACGTCGAAGCGTCTGCAAGCGAAATAAAGTAACATCACTTGGCGTCTTACGCAACTCTCCACCAATACTTTCCCGCTACAATGAGTGTGTTAATTGCAACTTCAAAAAGCAAAAGCCCATAACCTCACACTTTATCCTGGTCTTCCTCGGCTCAGATAAAAGCATTGAAAGCTAGACCGTTAAACTCGCCGTTTATATGGCCGAGGCTGCGTTCGTCCACACCACCGCACCGCGGTTAGGCCAAAGCCTACGGCCTCGCCTGCAACTCGCACGCCCACCTTGCGCTGCTGCTTCTCCCAGGCAGGGTCGAGCAGTAGCTCGCGGTCCCAGTCCTCCTCGGGTGCCATGTAGGTCTCCACGCCCATCGTGTTCTCGTAAGAGTTGTCCATGGCGTCGGCGACGGCGCGGGGGAGCCGAGGGCGCCGCGGGAGCGCGAGGTTTGAGCGGGCGGGACGCGGAGCCGCCTCTCGCCTCGGGGGCACGCACAGCTCAGCCTCAGGGATCACGCCCCCACCACGCATAGAGAACACGCCCCTCATTAAGGCCACGCCCGTATATTCTAAGGCAACGCCCCCCCCCATCCAGCTCCGGAGCGATGCCCGGCGGTAGTCCCCTAAAAGCCATGCCCATAGCTTTAAGCCACGCCTCTTCTTTACCCAGTGTCACGCCCCCAGACTCAGAGACCCGCCTCCAAACTCAGAGACCCCACCCGCCTCCAAACTCAGAGACCCCCCCCGCCTCCAAACTCAGAGACCCCCCGCCTCCAAACTCAGAGACCCCCCCGCCTCCAAACTCAGAGACCCCCCCCCCCGCCTCCAAACTCAGAGACCCCCCCGCTCCAAACTCAGAGACCCCCCCGCCTCCAAACTCAGAGACCCCACCCGCCTCCAAACTCAGAGACCCCCCCCGCCTCCAAACTCAGAGACCCCCCCCGCCTCCAAACTCAGAGACCCCCCCCCCCCCCCAAACTCAGAGACCCCCCCCCCAAACTCAGAGACCCGCCCTTAGACTCAGAGACCCCCCGCCCCAGACTCAAAGACCCCCCCCCCTCAGAATCAGAGACTCCGCCCCCAGACTCAGAGACCCCGCCCCCAGACTCAGAGACCCCCCCCCCGCCCCCAGACTCAGAGACCCCCCCCCCCCGCGCGAGGACGTGCCCTAGCAACGGCCAATCAGAGAGCGCGCGCGCAGAGATTTTAAACGAGGTGGGCTGGGCGAGATTGAGCGCATTTCTTTGGGCCACTGCCTTCTTACAGAGACAACCCTCAAGTTGCCTTCTCCGTTCCTCAAATTAGTGCTCCATTTGCATACCTGTCAACACCTTATCAGTGCCTACCTCATTACAGAACAATTCAGACCTTAGTGGTCACCCCGTGCCCTTACAAATCTCAAAGTTCATCCTACGAAGTCCCATCCCAAGGGAGAAATACAAACAAATACACACATTTTTTTGCCCGCATTGAAACGGTTGTGCGCCGTATGGACCTTAAAACTCAATTTCCTTGTGAATACGGGCTAAACCGTATGGGTTGACAGGTATGAATTGGCCCGATTAACATCGAAGCGTCTGCAAGTTACATAAAGTAACATGACTTCGTGTTTTACGCAACTGTTCACCACTCACTTTCCGGCTACAATGAGTATGTTAATTGCAAACTTCAAAAACACAAGCCCATAATCTCACGCAGTTCTCCTCCTGGTCTTCCTCCGCTCAGAGCGTGCCACGCGACTTCATGTCTGCCGAACACTCATTGCAGAAAGACCCATTTGGGCCTTTTAAGGTCACAGTGGTATTGACTAACGTGCTGAGTGTTGCGTTATTTGTGCTGTTGCGGCACCGCCAACGCAGTTCCATAGGGAGAAACAATTTTGGAAACTTACGCGGTTACCGTGCAGCTTTGTGGATAAAATCAGATATAATTACAACTCCGTGCTGAGCCTACAAATATAAAACACAAATTCACTCCAGCCGATGGACTTTCCAGACCAATATTATCAAGCATCATATGAGTAAACTCTGGACCGGTTTCGACTGACATCACACAGCCTGCGGCACACAGAGCACGAATGTAACAGCACTTTTACACGGCCCGTATATCATAATTATCCCTCACTGCAAGCACCTTAATTGTGAATATTAAAAACTTTTTTTTTACTTTAGTGCCACGCTCAGTCTGTTCTTGAAAAAAAAGTGACCTATGGCTGTGTTACTAAGGTTGTATGGTAAGTCATATTCGGTACATTAATGTAGCCGTGCCTAGGACCAAATAGCCAAGAAATTAGCGAGTCAGGTGAGAGCCTGGACGAGCGTTTGACTGGGTGACCACTATGCACGCAGGGCAATAACCTTGTGAGATTACAAGAGATAAAGACGGAATGAAATGAGATAAATGTGGACAGAAAATAGAGGCAGAATGAGATGAGAGAGATGTAATTAAATAAGGGAGATGTAGGCAACTCTGGTCTCTAAGACATGATGAAAACAACAGCAGACAATATCGAGATTAGAGATTAATCGGCTTTTATTGTTATATTGAATTATGTTTATTTGGATATTAATTCAATTTGAGCTGATATTTCGTGTATACATTATTTGTCCTAGTTTGCTCACGTTTAGCATCACCACTGCTCATATACCCCCCCACCCCCAAAACACGCTGGGCCGAGACCTCTCATGAATAATTGAGCGTGGACATGATTTATTTATACAAAACATTATTTATGCAAAGCATTATTTATGCAAAACAGCAGCAGGGATTGGTTTCCTGGGTAAGGGACGGGGGTATCGAGAGATGGAGGTGCTCCGTTCATCGTTACATCTCCAGCTCGCCGACTGCGGCGCTCTCTGAATAAAAATGCACACCCCAGGTCAGCACGTGGCGCCGTATCCCCCCAAAATCAACACCACGCGGGTTCACGTTACCACGCCGCGCGTGGCCTGCAGTGCAGCAACATGAATAATGCCTTCTGCTTTCACCAGCCTCGTAACTTGTCAGCGTGGTGAAGTATGGTCAAACAGCTATTCCATACGGCGTCGGGAGGCCTCTCGTCCAGGCATAAATTGACAAAAGGCAAGATATGTAGATGTGTTGTATGCATGCACAATTGCTGCATGCAATTGGGTCCTAAAATTGCGTCCTAAAACCTTGACTTGTATTCAATGAAGTTCTGCATTAGGTAATGTATGATACACAATCAGCCACAGACTATACATTCCTCTTTCAAGTACCAGTGTACCACCTGATGTGGCTGAACTTTAGTGGCACCAGATACTTTAGCATAATATCAATAGTAATGATAATGGGTTGACAATATAATGAATTTGGCAACCGGATATATATCCCTGGCCACACCACTCCTCGTGCGCCGTTCCAGCCTTCATAACGCAAAACAGAACTTTCCCCAATAGCCTGTGTAGGCTGTATGGGGGGGGGGGGAGTCTTTGCCTTTGCATGAGGCAAACCAATTCTTAACTGGGACAAAATCTCGATTTCCACAAAAGCTTCGAGACACGAGGGGGACAGTCTTTCTTAAAACCATGGTGACTGTCCGGGCCAGACCGGGACATTTTGGAGGCTTTGCGTGAGAGGGCCCGTGAACGGCTGTGCCGGCGCGAACCCAGAAAGCGCATGGGCTGAAGAAAAGAGCTGACCTTGGCTTCCCTGGGCTGCAAGATAATCATATCCACAGCTGTTGGGGGGAGCTCTTTGGGGGGCTGGGAGAAAGAGTGTCAGCTCCTTCAAGGAGCCTGTGAAATGAGCGTTAACTGGGCAGTAATCTCGCCACCGCTTCTCCCGCCCCGCATGTGAATGCTAAATATGTCTGCTGAAAGAGCAACGCTCTGTAAACAGATGTGGAACATACATTATCATCGTAATCCTCATGAGCCACGATGAAGCCACTACTGGATGAAGGCCTCCCTACACTGGTCGCGATATGTGATGGTGTGTTATTCCATACAGCACCTGCGCATGAGGTCGATCTGTACAGGTGGACATCCTCTTGGGCGTGTCCACTCCTTTGGCTGCCATTCCGTTGTTAGTCTCGACCACACACCATGAATCCTTTATAGAGTCGTGTTCTAAAGTTATTTTCTTAAGAGTCATAAGATATATTTGACATATGTATGTTCCCTAATCAATTACTTCCTCTTTCTGTTTACAGTCTACAGTAATTATAAACATACAGCTCTCCATTATTTGCGCATGTTCACATTTATAAACATTTAGATTACAGTTAAATACCCCCCCCCCCCGCATGATTTACACGGCGTGGGGAGGCCTTCATCCAGCAGTGACATTACCAAGGGCTGTAAATTAACCAAAGCTAGACTAAAATAAGCATATTGACCGAGTACAATGCTCACGAAGGAAGTGGCCCGAAGTCAAAATGTTAAACTCCCCTGAGAAATAGCTCGGAGATTCAGTAAATCTGTTTGAATAGCTAACAGAGGCGATTAGCACATTGCAATTAATCTCCACGAGAAACCCACGGACAAGTTTGTTTATATTCTTTCAAAAGAGCAGAACCCACAGAATATCTTGCGGAGGCAATCCCAAGCCCCCTCCACGGTGGCCCCCCAAAGACAAAGATCCCCCGTATACCATTTTACAGACTGTTGGGGCAATTGGTGTTCGCGAGCACCTATGAAGGCCGGCACGGCACACGAGGGGGTGGGTGGCCAGCACCACGCACCCGCACACACACGCACATGCTGTAACCATTTATGGCACGGTGCGATATAAGGCCCTGTCGAGAAAGACGGCGCGTTTCGGGAACGTACTTGTCCCCCAGTAAATCTACTTCAGTAGGCGCTGGAGTGGCGGGGGTTGGGGCGGTTGCATTCCAGCTGCAGGCAAACTGGCTCCGCAGGGTCGAGTGCCCCTCGTGACGATCCAGGGCCCTGCCCTCTTGCCCTCTCATGCACTATCGGTGTGTGTTTGTACTGAGCCGATGAGTGCTAATAATGATAAAACTGTTATACAGCTGCCTTTGGAGGGGGTGTGGGGGGGGTCCCGGTTGCATAAAATTTTAAATAGAAGAACGTTGTTATTATTATTAGATAACATGTCATCTTGAAAATCCATAGAGGTGGAACATCTCTCGATTGCAAGTGTCCACAGCAGGGCACCCACCAATGCTTACTTTACACGCTGCTGTGCCGCATGCTTCAAAAGCACACGGCCATTAAGGAACAAAACGGAACAAAAACTGTGAAGGGTGCTAAGACGCGTGGAGAGATGCACGCTCGGAATTATACTGAAAGACAAAAAGAGAAACACGTGGATTAGAAAAACACAGATTGTTTACATGATTCGAATTGTTAAGAAAAGTGAGCAGCGGTTCTTGGGCAGGACACCTCTCTAGAAGAGGCGATGGCCGATAGTCAAGAATAACAACGGAATGACAGCCAACGAAAGGAACGGGTTTTAGAGGACGCTCACTCAGGAGATGGAGCGATGTGATCGGTTCTCGTGCAGGTGCTAGGTGGAACGTTGCATCATGGGATCGTGGAAGGTAACGACGACTTGGGGAGGCCTTCATCCAGTCATGGATTGACCATGGCTGATGATCCGTGCGCTGGAATGGCGATATCATC